TCTTCCAGTGAACTTACCTGGACCAAAACTGCATGTTCTTCCACTTTTCAGCACTTTTGTAAAACTACTTTAAAACAAAATACTAAAACTGTGGTCGACTTATGGTATTAGACTAAGGAGAGTAAGTGTTAACTTTAGTCTTCAGCCTAGAGAGCTTCTAGGTTTACCTGCTTCCCATAGATCTGCTTAAAACTAACAAGTCTGTTTCAGACTGCAGCAGGGAATCTTGGTAATGTTTTCCTTGTCCTTTCTTCCCACAGGGCTATGCTCCACCGCCAAAAAATGGAATTGAACAGAAGCGACCTGGGCGCCCCTTGAATATAACATCTCTAGTTAGGTTGTCGTCAGCAGTGCCAAACCAGATTTCCATTTCTTGGGCTTCTGAAATTGGAAAGGTAAACTCTGTTCTGTAGGATATGGAGAGTCATCTGGATAACCTCAGCTAGCATTCTTTCTCTTCTGCTGCCTGATGTTGCTGGCAAGGCATAAACCAGCAAGTGTTTAGTATTAAAGAGCTAAACTTTTTATCAGTGCCAGGGAACAAAGTTTGCTTTAGAAGTGTGGTGGTTTACAGTAACATAAGGAAGTCTTTATGCAGATCTTATAGAATTCACATTAGAAAGCCTGCTTTTAGGAGTTGCCTGAAACGTGTGTCAAAAATAACAAGACTTTTTTGTGGTGTAAATAGTACAGAATAGTGCAAACATGACAAAACAACTCTTTTCAGTATCTGTTGTAACTGTCCACTGGAGAAGACTTTTTTTTTAAACTGGTGTGTCAAGGCCATGAGGGCAGAGACAGGCATTTGCTTTTGAGGTTTTTGTATTTTTTTAACCAAATAATACTAAGTAATTTTATGAAGGCAATTTTTATTTCATAGGAAGAACAGTTTAATGACTATTTCCATCTTTATTCTTTTGAGATGCCTTTTTTACATGGAAATGGCCTCTCTGAGTTGATTTAAAACTGCTTGTAAATAAACCACAAGAGTGGAATTTTCAGCTCAGAAAGCTCTTAAATGGAAGGTTACTGGGAAGGGTTTACTGGTGAGGTATCAGGCTGCTGGTGTCTGCTGTTTCTGGACTTGATGGATCTCAACCATGCTTGGCTAGACCATACTTGTGTGGGGTGTGTGTTTGCAATGTAGGATATCTGGGCAGTGTGTTGTTTTTTTTTAAATAAAAATAGAGTATCCCTGGATGTTTGGGTGACTTGAGGGAGAACTGACATGATAATGGGGAAAGATGGAGAGCTGGGGGAAGGAAAGTGGGGGGGGAATAAAATTGAAGCCTCTTCATAATGCAATTCTGAACTTCATGGAAAGCTACAGTGGGGAAAAGCATGCTAGACTTCAGGTATCAAGAGATAGAGGGTGACTGAGATGTGATACCTGTTGCTTTCTGGTGCCAGCAGTCATTAATCATAGTTTAAAAGGAATTAACCTTTAAAATGACTGTCTGGGTGTTTAGAAATCCCCCTATGGATTTACTAAGGAAAGAAGGGGGAGAGTGTGAGGAACTTCTGAATTCTTCCTAGGTTTAAATAGCTGTTGGTGACTTGAACTACTTACTCCTTTATCTGTAACTAGCTGTGTAACTGCTTCTGGATTCAATTATCAAAGTAGCTTACCTATTTATTTTCTTCAAAATCTGTGGACCAGAGACACCATATGTTTCAAAGTGAGACTCCAGTATAAGCTTTTGTATGCAAATTAAAAAAATAAAAGTAAATTGGAGAGAAAGCTAGTGTTTGGGAAATAAATGAAGGGCAGTGCTGACAGTAAAGGTTTTTCTAAAACAGAGGTGGAGGAAAAGATCTAAGCTGTTGTTTCCCAGTCATAAAGTAAGAGTCTTGAAATGAGTGTGTGTGGTCTTGGCCTCTCCCTGCTGCCCCCTGCTTTCTTCTCCCTCACCATATCTGCCAAAACACATTCTCATGAAAGCAGATGAATTGGAGGTTGTCCCAGCATTCCCAGCAGACTTGCGTGGTAAGGGCTGACTGGTATGGACTTGACTGATAGTGGAGGGCTTCTGAGCAAAGGAGCTGTTAATCCCATGGAGTTGGCCAGGCTGTAGCCCATAGAATTCATACTGTAGGCAATAAACAGTGCAATGTATGGAGAAAAAAAAAATCCATTTTTTGTAGTGGTTTCCTGTGTATTTGGCTAACTTCAGCTGCTCATCTAGGTAAGAGCTGATTTTGCTATAGGTGGTAAAGGAGGAGCAGAGCAGTAGGTTGTGGTGTTTTAAAATTCTTGTGGAGTACCTAAACAGTATAGGAGCTATAAGAAGGTGACTGGCAGGGAGTGGCAATAAGAGATTGCAGATGAAAACATTATGATTCTGCAGTAGTGGGACTTGCAGAATTTTCTATTCATTAGTGACCTTGAAGAGTGAACACTGAACAAAAGAAGCTGGCAAGTGGTGTGAATTAGGGAAGAGTAGTAAATGCTAGGGAATGTGGCCGGCCTCAGAGGAGTGGATGTGGTATAATTGACACTGGGAAAAAATGGAAGTATTTAGGAGGCAGACACAAAGTTCTTAAAGGCTGCTTGTATGAGAAGGTGTGTTACCAGTCTAAATCCTCTTTCTAGGAGAAGAGCCCAGATTGTCTCTTGATTGTGGAGATACTCTTAGTTAAGCTACAACTGGAGTAAGACAATTGGACTTGATTGGTAGGAAACTTCTGGCAGAGTATTGGACTCTTTCACAGTAATGAAGTTCTGTCCGTGCTTTTCATAACTATTAAGCAAAAAATTGGGATGTTTTTGCTTTTACTGTATGCTACAACTAGCATAAATAGTAATTTGTTGTCATAGTGGAAGTACTGTATAAAATCAATATTTAACCTTTAATCACTTTTCTTGTAGAATTACTCCATGTCTGTGTATCTTGTTCGTCAGCTCACTTCAGCTATGCTTTTGCAGAGGTTAAAAATGAAAGGTATCAGAAACCCTGATCATTCCAGAGCATTAAGTAAGTCAAATTAATTTGCCTGTTTGTACTTTTTGAGGGTGGTTGGTTGCTTTTTAAAACTAGAACTGGTAATATTTAGGGGATTTGCAGCATTTTGAAAAAGAAGTCCATGCCCAGAGTATCAGACATTCCCTTTGTTGTTGTTGAGGCATCATGCACACCTGGAGATGCCATCTGAAATGTTCTTAATGGTGCTCACAGCATTCCCATTACTGTGGTAGGCTGTGAGGTGCAAGTACATGGCCTAAAAATGGGTTCTCTTCACTTGCGTGTGATGTTGATGGTCTTGTCTTTGTACCTCACTCACTGATGGTTATTTTATTTCTCTTTGCATGTTGGGGAGTTTACTAACTGTTGTGGCTGTTACTGCATCTGCTGCACATCAGACAATCCTGTGATGTGGTGCTTACCAGTTGCTTATAAATAGTGAAACTATTGTTGTTTGATATTGCTATGAACTAGTTTCCTAGATGCTTAATTTTTTTTAGATAGCTGGAAATAAAGTACACATACTGGCAAATCAAGATTAGCATTTTAGATAATGTCTGTATGTAACGTCTTAATTTACTTTAATAGTTAAAGAAAAACTAACTGCAGATCCTGATAGTGAGATTGCCACAACCAGTCTGCGGGTTTCTCTGATGTGTCCTGTAAGTATGGCTGGAAATTACCATATACAGATTTGTGTATTCATCTTTAATGCAGAGTTGGGCTGCTCTTAAAAGGCCCTGCTTTAGGAATTTCACTGGCTTTTAGTCTGTACTGATTCATTAATATAAAACGGAGGAGAAGGGTGCATCTAAAAGTACCTGATTGTAGCAGCATTCAACAAACTCTGGTTCAGAACTGTGAATGCCTCAGTTCTAATGTAGTCAGAATGAAGTTGGTACTCATGTGTGTAGTGAGGCCTTTAGAAGCAGTAATCTTATGTATTAAGACTAATTGGGCAGGGTGACGGAATAATTAAAGGACACAGTGATAAATAAAACTTTGGTTCTCTTTATTTTGGTGGTATTGCTTATACTGCAAACTACTATAACAAACAGTAATTGATTGCTGTCTAACAAGGTAACATTGCCTTCAGGTTTCTCTTCCCAGGTAGAAACTGGCCTTGTGTTTGTGATTGTGTTAATAAGCTAAATGTTAAAATGGGTATTTTGCCATTTTGAGTCTAATGTAACTGGAGCTCACAAAACACCTTGAAATATTTGGCTAAAAGAAAGTTATAAAAGTGGGTGCTTCAGTAGGTATTTCAATAAAAATAAATTCCTAGAAATAACATTGATCAGATCCATTAGAAATATTTTTGACAGTCTTCAACTCAGTGAAGACTGTGAGGATGGCTTTATTGTTCCTTTAAGTGCACCCATAGGGTGGAGAGAGAGAGTCACTTCACCACTGTCATTGTTAGCCATCCAGGGCTACTTCACTGTCTTCTGTTCTGACACTTTTTAAATGCATCTCCTTCAGCTGGGAAAAATGAGACTGACAATCCCATGCCGGGCTGTTACTTGCACACACCTGCAATGTTTTGATGCTGCTCTTTATCTTCAAATGAATGAAAAGAAGCCTACCTGGATCTGCCCTGTCTGTGACAAAAAGGCAGCTTATGAGAGCCTAATATTAGATGGGTAAGTTACTGGGTTTGCACATTACACAATTACTTAAATTTTTTCATAATGTAATTAATAGCTACTTCAGTGACTTGAGATTTAGCCATTTCATACTATTTTCTTTGTCAAAATACATTAGACTGGGAGGAACTGTTAGACTCTGTTTGTTTTTATTCCCATGTTACAAACTACGTAAGTTTATCTCCAAATTGCATCATCAAACTCTTGAGCCTCAGCATATCTCCTCTGGAGAAATCCAAATGTGACATAAAAGGGTGACCTATCTGTCGCGGTCAGGACGGACAAAGCGACAAGA